CTAGGAATTCAGTGCACATTACAGACATGTTTACATCGCTAGGGAGATACCTGCGGTTCGATGCGTGTTCCCGTCTGTAATGGGAGATCTGCGGATTGAACGCAGAGTTGCCAACCCTGGGACAATTTTACGAGTACAATTGAAGTAAAATTGTAGTACAGTAAACCCAAAAAATAGTACGCAACATAAACTTGTTTTATTAAGAAATACATTTTTACTTTACAGAACATTACAATCTAGACCTAGACACAAAGATTAAAGTTTATTAATGAGCAAAATAAACAAATTAGTTGGAGAAAATAAAATCGCCATCTCCCTCTTCCTCTAAATTTTCTTCCTCCTTAAAATTTTTATGGTCATACATTTGGGAATTACATGACTTTACCATAGCGGTAGTAGGTTGAAATTTTAGACATGATTCACTGTTTGCTATACATTGCGATGCCAATAGAGCACCATTGACAGTTCTTGTTGCCAACTTATTCCTGGGTTTAGTTTTAATTAAGTTCACTTTACTGAAAATTCTTTCACAATCAGCATTAGCATGAGGTATACATAATAATGATATAGCAAATAACGCCAAATTTCTGTATTCATATTCGCCCAACACATTTTTGTATGATGCAAGTTTTCCCCAAAATGTATCAATTATCTGTTCCTTCCTTATACCATCATCTGTTAACATTGGTAATTTACGCCATTCGTCATCTATTGCTTGAATCATATTTACATTATTTGGTAAAAATCTCTTACTAACTGCATACAACGGTTGCAAGCTAGGATAGTGACTTCTAAAACTATTTGATAATGCATTTTCGGGCGATAATGCAGTGAGAAATTTTAAAATTCCATCTCTGAAATCAAATCTTTTTTTAATTTGCTCACAAGCAGTAATCAAAAATTGTCTACAGCGTAGACGAAAATCTTGCTCCAGCTGTGGACTACTTTTGACGTCTGTATCATTTAAATGGTTTAAAACATTTACACCTAAGTACATATTATTTACAGAAATAAACTTAGAGCTATCATTGGGATTTATGCTTTCTACAGGAGTTGTTTGAACATAAACACGATCCATGTAGCACATTAATATGTCACAATATAAAGAGACTATTTTAGTATGTAATTCGGTAATTACAACTCTTGCTGATTGAAAATATTTATTAAATTCTGTAAATTTAGGTAATATCCATAATAAAAATAAGTAATAAAGTTTCATAAATGGATCGTTTAAAGCATTAAATATTTGTTCTGTGGCAACAAGTCTATCAGACAACCAAGTATTTGTGAAATATAGTTTAAGAGCATCCCACTGTTCTATTATTCTACCAACTACCTCATTTAAACTAAGCCACCTGGTTTGTGATGGATGTAACAATTTGTGAATTTCTAAATTTAAAAATGATTGGAACTGCCTAAAGTCATGTTGTCGTTTGGAGCTATATTTGAAATGATTATATATATTTCTACTCAGGTCTTCACAATGGCGTGGTAATTGTTTACATGCTTCACTATCACAAAGATGCGCTGAATGGCAAATACATTTAACGATGACAATTCCTGGAAAATTGTCTATAAACCTTGAGGCAACACTATTATTTTTACCCATCATAACATTACAGCCATCAGAAGCAAAACCAACCACATTACTTAAAGGTATGTTGTGTTTTTCAAATGAATTGACAATTACGTTATATAAACGTTCACCTGTTACGCTCGTATCGACAGTACCTTGATCTGCACTATCACCAAACAATTGAATTAGCTCCCAAAAACTACTTCTAATTCTAGAGCACCCTTGGTCATAATATCTTACTACAATACATGCAGTCTTTTGACACGATATGTCTGTGGATTCATCTGTTAAAATACTAAATTTTGACATTTTTAATGTTTGTATTAAATCATTTTTATGCTCCAAACCGATTACGTTTTTCACTAGGGCTGTCAACTTCGTTCTTCCAAGTTGCATGTCAGATAGAGTTCTCGAATCTGGTGCAATTTCTTTGAGTAGGGGTACAAGGTGATCAACCAATGTAAAAGGTACATTATGCTCCGCGAAAAATCCAGCCAGTTTGATTTCTGCAACTTTGACGTCGTTTCTTATGATCGTAGGGATAGGCAATGTGAACTTTTCGATGAACGGTTGTGCTTTCTTAGCACTCAAATTTTGTTTGTGACGTTGGCAAGCATCATGTAGTTTTAAAACATGCAACTCTGCTTTAAGCGATACATTGCACACTTTACAAAAAGCTTTTGTATTATCCTCCTCTGGAGTTAGCCATTTCAACGTTTTTTCCCACATCGAGCGATATTTTTGCACTCTTTTTGTATATTTCTTTTTCTTTGGGGGAGTTACATCCTCATCCTCACTTTCTTTGTCTTTATGGTCCATTTTCTAGAAAGAAATGTCATTTAATAATATTCAAAGGGAACGTATTTCATAGTTGAAATGCTAACATCTACATTTACGTACCTTGTAACTGCGTTAAATATGCACGTTTATAGAGAAATTGTGGACAGCGTTAACAAACAAAACCAAGATTTCACAATGTCCACAATTTACACACAAAGCATAAAAGCAAGTCGCAAGATGGGCGATGGCATACGTAAGTAAACAAAACACACGTGATGACGTGATTCTGCGATCTGCGCGTATATTTAACCACAGACCACAGAACCACAGACCACAGACCAAAGTATATGAAGGACTGTGTATTATAGCTCCCTACGCCATCTAGTAGTGCAGAAATTATATTCTTTACGTTTATTTGATTATTTGATCCAAGAAAACAGTTTTTACGTACTTACTCATAATTATGGTACAATTTGCATAGTATATCTATTGAAAAAGTACATAGGACAAGCATTCTCATTAATGGTACAAATACTACAATTATAGCACGGTTGGCAACACTGCGGTTGGCAACACTGATTGAACGATTCTAGATGGTCGTTGATTGTTCCCTCTTCTTTAATTTTATTTGCCGATGGCCCCTCGTTGGTCTCGACTGGCAGTCATTTGACCTTAGGGGTTTTGAGAAGTGCATCGCGTACAAACCGATCATTGGTTTTTTGGTAACCAAGAGTTGTCAGGAAAAATACTTTACAAACATCTTGATTACATGAATTTTGGAGAGAATATTTAATTGTATTTTTTTCTTATTACTTTCAGCTTTCGGAAGTTCTGATTACATCAAACATTTTACTGAATAAATGTTCCTCTGGCAATCCAGAAGAACTTCCAAAACTCGCAATTTATTTCCTTACGTCTCTCATCTGACAATTTAGAACACTTCCTTCTGCAACCGGCACTACTACATCCAGGTAATATATTATGGCTATCATTACACATTTTTAATTTCTTCCTTTCTATCAAGCTTAATTCTATTTTCTTGCGTTTCCTGGGATTTCCTTTCTTTGTGTATTGAATTATTGCACCAAAACCCCAGACAGAGCAGTCGGCAGCGGGATTCGAACCCACAACCTTCCGAATAGCATCGGTGAGCGCATCCACTGCGCCACGTGCCTCGGTACTCTAATGAGGTACAAATACATTCTTAGCAGATTCTAAGATGTGACTTATAGAGTCATTGTGGATATCAACTAAATCACAGATAAGGTTGTATCTAGAGCACATTAAATGGACAGGAGCTCTTGGTAGTAAATTTGTACGAGATTGGGAGACATAAAATGCATCAAACTGTCTACTATTAAGCCTAGGCACACGAAAATTAATACATGCTAAAAGTTGAGGACAATCAGTAATATTGTTTAGTAATTTATATAAGCAAGACAAATTATAATTCTCCTAAATTCGCAAGATGTCATTTTAAAGGTATTCAATAATGTTTCATGATCAAATCCTTGACAGGGGTACGCACCAAACTGCTTTAACCATAAATATTTCAAAAATTTTCTTTGGATATTTTCAACTAAGCTTTTATAATATTTATAGTGGGGGTACCAAATAATTACGGCGTATTCCAGTCGAGGCCGAAGTAAGGTAAAATACAAAAGCTTTATAACATCTATATTATGGAAGTCTTGTCTCTTTTAAACAATTTATAATAATGTTGTGCCGAATCCCTTGGAATTCCATTTTTTGCCGTTAGAATCCATCTCCAAACAGCTTTTTTTACGTGAAAGACGCATAATAGTAATTGTGCTTCTGGCCAATATTTTTTTAAAACTTTTCTTTCGCCCAAATCGTCATCAGTCATGATAACTGCAGGACTAATTTTTGTAGGCAATATGGCTAGCATTTCCTTAACTGCAATATCAAACAGATCAGTTTTTTGACAATGGATAAAATGCATCCAACGGGTAATCCTCCGGCAGCACTTTGGACCACAAAAAAATATATTTTGTGGTCATAAGCATCGCAATTACCGGATGCGTCAACAAACATAATTTCACTTGCTTGAGGTATTTCTATGGAACGTTGCATAAGAGGTGTACATATAGCTACAGCATAATTATCATGTAAGGTTGTTATTTTATAACATAGACCTGACTTCTCTTTATGAAAAGCCAGCATTTCTTCTAACTTAAGCAGCATATTGGAACCAGTACGATCACCAAAGTCTTCTTTAAATTTCTTTTTCCACAAATTAGATACATCCGTTTTTGTTGGAATATAATGCCTATCATATAATATATCTTCATATTCATCACCCAGTTCCTCCATTTTATCCATACAATAGGTGTGATAAGCTGTGGCTGCAGAATGGCCTCTGTTAAAAAGTTCGCCTATCTTTTGCTTAGCCTCTGGGCCTAGAGGCCTCTCACGAAGGGCCTCAATGACGTTTAACCGATGATTATGTGTTGATTTAAATTCTATCAGACACGGATATTCTTCTGTTGTTATAGATGGTTTAGTAGACTTAGACAATTTAAAACTTTTTTTGATAGTTATAAAAACCTTTGCAGAACAATCAATATTTCTTGATTTTTTTTTTCTTTTCTGTCGTTGTTCTGTTCTGTTGTTTTGTAGAAGTATTTAAATGACATCGATAAATACGTTTAAAAATATTTCTGGGTGCCGTCGTCGGAATTTTAAAAGTTTTTTCGATGGTCCAGGTTTCTTTTGTTAACGCCTCAAGAAGAGAGACCCATTTCTAAGGAAAAAAATATGTTTTAGGCATCTAATAAAAAGTACATATTGGTATATGTCAAAAATTCCGACCCCGAGGTCAATTATTGTCAAAATAAAATACATATGTATATATATTAAAACATTAAACCCTCTTAAATTAGAGCACCCCGTTAAAAACACTTTTAGTTTAACAAAATTTCAGACGTTTCAAGTTTAAAATGAACAATAAGAAATTAAACGACAATTCTAAGAAAATATTATTTTAATACCTTAATAGTATTATAAAATTAACTAGCATGTTACCCGCGGCTTCGCCCGCGGTAGACGTATACGTTATAAAAGACGCATAAGATGAAAGATTTTGGTAGCATATCTATCGTCACTCTCACAATAAACAAAATAAATAAGGATGCAAGAAAATGACCTCACTGCACCCATCAAAAACTTTCACTATACCTACAGGTTATAAAAACGTTAAATACGTAACATTATACAACTTACCTCTACATCTTCTTTGGTAAACAGTCTACAAACTATTATATTATTGTCTTTAAGTATATATTCATAACCCTCAGGTAATGCACGCATTTTTTTTTAATTATTAGCACACTAATAAACAAACACCAATCTACTTGTACAACACCACCGTAAACTAGGTTATTTTATCAACATGTTTCCCTTAAACAATCCGAAAGAATTCAACCTGTGCCGCGATACAATGACTTGTAAATAACAGACGTATTAGATGGACACGTCTGCTGGATACAAACGGTGTTCGTGCGTCCGGGACATGTACTGTTTTTCATCTTATTGAAGTTTATTAGTGATGGGTTCGTAAAAGTGAGGTTACTTTTCTTGCGTTACAGGTGTAGAAACCGTGCGTTTTGACCTCATTTAAGAACTGTTGAAACGGTATTTTTAACAAAATTAACATGAATAATAGTGATAGTGATGATAGCAGTGTTGAGGGCCTTCATGGCAGCAAGAAACGCAAAAGGGATGCGAAAACATGGAAAAACAACAAAAGAAAAATTGCTGCTCGTAAAGGTGAAGCATATATCTCCTCATCTGGTAAAAGAGTTGCTCCAAAAACATTTGGACCTCCATGCATGTAATCTATTTTTCTATTATAATTATCTAAAATAACGTATCATTTTCATTTTTTAAGGTGTAAGATGAAAAGCACGGACAAGTTTACTGATGAAGAAAAATCTATTTTTATTTCAAAATTGTATGACGGTAGACCAAAAAATGAATATGATACTGTTAGATTATATCTGTGGTTTATGCAGCGACATCTGTCCGATGTACTTAAACTGCTGTACTGGTGTTAATAAAATGTGCGATTACTTCCTTGTGAACTCGCAACAAGTAAACGTCGTTGTCGTTTTAATAGGTTATGGACCCAGGCCGCCATTGACCAGTAATTCGCGTGTTTGTTGTGTGTTTCTAAATATGTCGTCGTTCAGTATTTTATCTACTGTGCCAAAATTGAAAGGGAGAGAAAATTACAGCGATTGGACTTTCGCAGTAGGTAAGTAATTTTCTAGTGCTAGACGATTTGGAAGGGTGCATAGATGGCAAGTGCGAAGACGTGACGAAAATCGCGAAAGCTAAGGCGAAGTTAGTGTTATCTATCGACGCATCGCTTTACGTACACATTAAAGAAGCTAAGATGGCAAAGGAAGTGTGGGATAACACAGCTAGCCTCAAAAGAGAGCACGGTCCCTTTAGGAACAACCTCTCAGAGAAAGTTGAGGTACCGAGAGACGCTCAATTTTCCGGTACCACCTGCAACTGTGGAGAACTAGGTGGAACGTTTTTCGGAAGGTAAGGCGAAGGTACTGTGACTCCTTTTTTTTTGTTGAGTTTGATGTTTTTTTCAGATTACGAGTATTTTACTTCAGCGGTAGAAGCTGATCGCATGCTTCTCTCCATGATAGCAGGTAATGTATACTTTGAAGTTGAATATAAATAATGTCTTTCTTACAGGTGACAAGTACTCAACATAGTGACAACGATTTACAACAAACATAAAAAAATGCAGAAAAGTTTAGTAAACCAAAGCGATGTTTTGTTTTCTGTAGAATCTACAGTCGTGCTGTTTGTTTCAGATTGGATTTACTTCAACGGACGCAAGTAATTCAGTGTCTCCAGTCAAGATATCAGGTAATTTGTATTTTGAAGTTGACTATAACAACTTTATCTTACAGGTAGTCTTTCAGCTAGAACGTCGCATAGTTTAAACCATATATAACATTTTTGGGGGGAAAAAATGGACGGCATCAACAATTTAACAACATACTAAATAGTGTATATTTTATCTTTAATTAAATGTCAAATGTATTTATTTAACAAACATTTCTGTTAATTTGAACAAATAAAAAAAAATATTCTAAAAATGAACTTAATGAAATATGTAAGCAACAAACAAATATAAATAATCTAATATTTCTGTTTGCTTGTATAAATATTTTGAACAAAAACTTTTATCTTCAACCAATCTTTATTATGTAGAAGTTCTCCAGTTTCAGCTCTCAATTTCTCGCATTCAAGTCTCTTCGGGGGTATTTTGTTTTTAATATTGGTTTTAAAAAAATGTTTTAACTGCAGATCTTTGTTCTTCGGTCCATGGAACAAGTTCCCTTTTTCTCTTAGAAAATTTGTTGTCAGCTGCGGTACTTATACTCGGAATTTGTGCCGTCGACGTAGTTGTAGTAACATTTGCTTTACCCTCGGTAGGGTTTTCCATTTGGTTCGTTGGCTCGACAATTTCAAGCACTTCTTCCAATCCTTCATTTTCTTGATCAGATTTATCACAATCGACCACATCCTCCAAATCTACCTCAATTTCATCTAAGGACTTACCTTTGAACTGACCTGCTTCACCTTTCTCCATCAGCAACAGCAATTTCGACATCTTGGCCGTTTGATAGACGTCGTTTGGTAAGCGGTAAGAATTTCTGTGAGTACCCATCGTATGCCCCATAAAGTTAGCCAATTGTTCAATATCTGTTTTGCTCATGTTAAATATTTGGGTTAGGGTAGCCAAGTGGTTTCTTAGTCTAGTGGCAGTTATTGCTTTCGGGTTTTTGGCCCCGCACATTTTTGCATATTTTTCTAGAACCTTATAACCTGCTATGGGCGTTCCCACATTTCCCTTAGCAAACAAGTATGGATTATCACGGTTTACAAAATGTTGCCTAGATGATAATAACAGACGTATATGTTCTTGCACATCTTGACTAAATAGAACGGGGACGCCCCGATGTCTTTTTCCAGTAATTACAACTCTTTTAAATTTTTGCATTAATATTTGTTCAGTCGGTGAAACGGCTTCCGAAAATTCTTCGTAATTTTGCGCATTTTCGTTGTTAGATTCGTACAAATGTAAAGCAAACCTCTGTAACTCCCCAGGACGTCGACGATTTAATAACAAGACTCTACAAAATATGGTTTCCAACAATTCATTATAAGCAGACACATCTTTCTTGTTACTCAACAACTTCTGCGATGCTTCCTCCGCCTTATTGGATAAAAATTCTTTTATTAGTTTTAGATCACTTGCAAGTGGGATTATCGTAATCTTATTCCACTTTTGAAGGGCCAAGTTATTGGCCGCATGGTTTGATACATCGTATCTCCAATTTGATTCTAATAAGTGAATCATCGTTTTAAAATCTGCTTCAGCTTCAGCATGGTTGACATTTAGACCCAAATTCCGTTTTCTCAATAACAAATCAATTGCAATGTCACAACATTGTTTAAGCGAAGTACTAATATTCATAGCATATGTGGGGGAAATAAAGCAATCTTTTACGGCATCATACTTGGCAACAATCTTTGTAGCTTCCACATTCCACAAGCAAATCAAAATTTTGTGGCTTAAGTGCTTCGATTAAGTTTCGTACTGTGGGATTTAATTTTTTCATTTCTATAAGTAATTTTGATAATTCGCGCATCTTCCTAGAAGCAACGTTCACGAAATGTTTTTCGCGGTGTATTTTTATATAGCGAGCGCCAAATGCACATATTAACAAGTCTTTTTTTGCTACTAGGGATATTTGGTCTGCTCGCATATGTGGAAACACACTCTCTTTTAATTTAGCGTCTACTTGCATATACTTCACTAACATATTGTGAGCATCAATTTGCGGTGCAGTAGAGCATTTTTCTCCTTCACAGATTTTATGCCTCCATAGCTGCTTGGGAGCGTAAAACCCTAAACAATTGCTGCAAGGTAAGTACTCTGAAAAGTTTCTTATTTTTGTTTTTTTCATAGGTTTGAAACAGTCTTGCGAATTTTTTAGGTAGTTTCCTTTCTTTTTCAGAATCGTTAAATCTGCCTTTCTCTCTTTACTTTTTTGTGGAAATGAAAAAAATTTTTACACCTCGGTCTCGAGTGGATGGTTTCGCTGCAAGTGCCTTGAGAAATTCAAAACATATTCTTCGCAGAAGAAACAGAAATCTTTACGACGTTTGTAGACAGACTTTGCTTTCCCTCATTTTCGTCATCTAATTGATCATGAGCGGGCCTTACAACGACGTTTTGCAAGATATTTATTCTTTTTGCGCGAGAAGAGCTGGCGGCTGGCAGGGATCATGGCAGAATCCAAGTCATCGGAATCAGATGAAGATGATTCCTATAGAAATGTAATAATAGTTATTCGTACAACTAGTTTTGAAAGTAATACTTTCTTTCATGAATTTGCAGTTCGATTAACGAGGGCGAAACGTGTTGTACACGAAAATTTTTTGTATAGTGACCCTTAATATACTTAACCCATAATTGAAGTGATATCATTGACGGCGATTTACTCAAAAAATTGATGCTATTTGTTCATAGTTAGCATTAAACGCCATGAAAACGCATTGTAAAATCGCGAAAAAACGTAACAATTTTTATGCGATTTTTTGACAAAGAAAGTCCGGGAACTTGCGCTATGCAAAAATAACATTTACTTTATTCAATATTGGTATATTACTCTGAACGAACTGGAACATAATCAGGATCTTGTACAGAGCACGGTGAACGCGGGGGGAGGGGGGGGTAGATGCCGGGCTGGGTATGTGATTTATCTACGCAATGGTAATAAATAATATCACGACACTCAAAATTAGTTTCTGTACATACCTCTGAATATGTCAGAACATCTGAATCTTGAACAGAACAAGAAAGGTTGGATGTGTCATTTTCGACAATGTGTTCGACGAAGTTATCGTAGAATCTTCTACTGCCTTGGTAAATTACCAGAGTCTGTATAGTATGTATATACTATATTATTTACTGCTCCTAAAATTTCAAGAAAATATCTGGAGTAGGAAAGTTGACATTGCTCAGTCTACGCATGCGCACATCAATCGGGAAAAATCTTCTTGGCTCAGGTGCTATAGACATAAAGCTACTGAACACAAAAAGAACAAACTAAATATCTGGAAAACTGTAGGAGTTTTAGACTTCGGAAAAAACGGACGGACAGGCGTACGGACGAATAAAAATCAATTTGAGAATTGGTGCATTAGTAATAGCTATAAGCTACCCAATACAAAGACGAACCAAGTATCTTGCAAACTGTAGGAGTATTTAGATTTCGGAAAAACGGACGGATAGATGTACGGATAAATAAACATCAATTTTGAGCAATAGTTTATAAGCTACCGAATACAAAAAGGTACTAAATATCTTAAAAACCGTAGAAGTATCTAGGCTTCGGAAAACCGGACGGACAGACGTACATGGTAGTGGCATTGGAAATAGTTTTATAAGCTAACCCGAATACAAAAAAGGTACTAATATCTTAAAAACCGTAGAAAGTATCTAGCTTCGGAAAAAAAGGACGGACAGACCGTACGGTCGAATCAAATCATTTTTGAGCAAGATGGTGGGCATTAACAATAGCTATAAGAGTAAGTATAGTAAGGCCGATCCTGGCTCACTTTACATTGAAAAGTGCCATATGATTGAAGTGTTAGCGTTTCAAGGTCAAAGTGGTGTTGAAGGTCAAAGTGGTATTGCGTAAGTGGGGGTGGGTGGGTTTCAAGGTCGAGTGTTGAGAAGAAATGGGGTGTATTGTTTGTGTTTTTCGGAGGGGGGGTGATGGGTGAAGGCCATTGGATTTCAAGGTCGAGTGTTGAGAAGAAATGGGGTGTATTGTTTGTGTTTTTCGGAGGGGGGGTGATGGGTGAAGGCCATTGGATTTCAAGGTCGAGTTGTGAGAACAAAGGGGTGTATTGTTTGTGTGGAGGGGGGGTGGCGGCGGCTCAAGGCCGTTGGGTGTAATATAAGGTGTTAATTGGAAGACATTTGTCCATAATAACAAGAATCGACGAGATGTCAAGAGTCATTGTTCATAATCATCATCAGCAGCAGCAGCGGCAGCAACGGAAAAAAGAATTGACGAGCTGGTAATGAAAATTAGAAAATTAAAGTGGGATGTGGAAATTTTGGGTTGTCGGCGCCGTATGGAAAAATTGATGTTGTGAGGTCTACTGGCGATTTGTGTGCATGAGATAAGGCCCAATGATGATGATGATGATGATGTACCTAAATAAAATGATTATTTCCTTGTGTATATGTAAAGTTGTGTGTATTAAAAAAAAAAAATGTACAAAGGGGTGTTTATTCATTTTCCCATCGGCAATGTCCCTGTTAGAACCACACCCGCGTGGTATAAGTAGGTGTTATTTGACATATTGATGGTTAATCGCGCTTGAATGAAGTTTTTGATCAAAATGATTGACCGTCTAGGGGCCCCTTTAGATCGTGTACATAAAAAAACTTTGCAATTTCGCGCGCGCATTAAAAATAGAACAGTATCAGTTTGTACTTCGTGGCCTTGCACTCGTTTCTCATTTATGGTGTTGTTGCTTACGGAAATAATTATGATTTTTGCGGAAATTAAAATTCGGGAATATCATAACTCAGGTACGTAACTTAGTAACAATACTTATTGCAGGGAGAAATCATGAAATGAGATTTATAATTTCCATTGTAGGTTGCTGCAACAACGCCCTGTTTCACTTTTGCTTGACCTCGACAATGAATTCCTCGTATTGGATTAAAATTATAGCCGTGGAAAGTTTGCGGCGGGATAAACTATATTAATAACAATAACAATTGCATCAATTCCGTATATTTGAAATAGGTACATACAATAATTACATTATTATTTCGTTATAGTTACATTGACATTTGTTTTAAAAATGTAATATAATTAATTATTAATTGCATTTCTTTTTGGAGATGCTGCTGTTGTGTTCGGGATGCCGTTAATTCCCTTTCCAACCTTTCGGTAAGAAGTTGGGAATCTCGGTGCTTCGTTTCAACAATGGGCAACATTTGCTCCAGGCACCGCATGGACACCATTGCCAGCTCTTGGGGGTTGGACGGCTCGTGCCACCTGTGCGGGTCCAGCGGGGGTGGTGGTGGTGGTGGCGGCAGATCTGTTGCTGCTGCTGGGGAGATGTTTTGGTAGATGTCTCTTAGGACATTCATGTCCTTTGCACCCGCCCTTGGTAACGAAGCTCTGTAACAATAAGGAGAAAAGCACAGTATTAAGAATAGAGTGTATGTATATATTGCAAGTATAACTTACTGAAAGTGATTGTTGTTCACGGCGTTATTGCCCGGTGGCGGCGGATGAAATTGGTGTAAGCCATCTCCCGCGTGCTGATTTGACTGTGGCGGTGGTGGTGGCGGCGGCGGCGCGGGAATTATGATGTGTTCTAATATCTGTACCGGATACTGATGATGGCTATAAAAACAAATATATATTAGAATAATTTTTTAAAATTGTTAATTTTTTTTTGTTTTCATGAGCAATTTTTACCTTAACTGCTGCTGCTGCTGATGCTCCTGGTCGTGAGGTGGAGGGATCGCCCTTACTTGTGGGGCATATACGTGGCTCACGATGCCCTCGTATTCTTTCAGAAAGTCGTCCAACTCATTCATGTTGTTGTTGTTGGCTGTTGTAGTGGTGGTTCTATAAAAACAATAAAACAATTGTATGGATGGTGGAAAGCGAGCGCGAGTACGCCTTACCTTTCCTGGTGTCCTTCATCATCTTCGGTAATGAGATTGATGATGACATCTCCGTCCATTAATTTTGATGGTTTATTTTTTTCTAATGCCGTTCTTAACACCGAATGTTCGCCACCGCCACTAGCACCACCGTAAGGCTTCTTGTTCGTTTCACTTTTTTTTTTAATACTCAATTTCGCGCCGCGTTTGTTGTTAAAGGAAGACATCGAGGAAGACATGGTCTTAACGTTCACGTTAATACTTATCCAATATGAAAAATCTCCACCTATATATGGGGAGGGTTTTTGATGGAGTTAGCAAAAGAGTGAAAATCAAGGGCGTTCTCACAGGTTGCTTTCCTGGTAGCTCAACACTGACTCCATTGTCCTCCTCCGTACTTGCATGAGACACTTGCGACACCAAAGCTTCCAAGACCTACTCATGCAGTAACACTGACTCCATTGTTCTTGTCCTTGAAAACGTACTTGCATGAGACACCTGCGACACCAAGGTTCCCAGACCCCACTCATGCAACTGCAGTAACACCGACTCCATTGTTCTCGACCTTGGAAACGTATTTGCATGGTGTTAGCAGAAAGCGCATGGGACACCTGCGACACACCCGAAGCTTCCTAGAAAAGCGCCAACAATAGCGAGCACTCATGTAAGAAAGGGAGTATTCATTAATGTCCTTCGGAACGTGAGCGTATAAAAGGCCTCCAATTTCCGCGATTTAATGACTTCGTCTCTGTGCATCTTTGACGTAATATTCCATCAACGACAAGTGTCTCTTTGTGTGTGTGTAAGTGTGAAGGCCTCTCGGATTTCGCGCAACTTTGCAGGCGAGCTATTTTTGTTACGTTTCGAGGAAGAAGAACTCTGGGAAAATAGTTTTAATCGTAGGTAGGTACAATGGAATCTGTTACGAGTTTAAGCAATAACATAGTTAATCTAACGCGTAATTCAATTAAATTATTAAAAAATAAGACCGATATTGTTAGACATATTTCAATAATCGATTCCAACATACGTTTGTTAGAGAAAGCAATTACCAATAACCTTCATAATGAGATAAATGAAAGCCCGATAAGACTGGAAGCGAATTTAACCCAACTTAAATATTTTCGAGCACAATTAAAACAACAATTGAAAAATATCTCGGTAAAAAGGGAGGGTTGTGGAATAGATGACACCGTCGATAGAAAAAATCATCCGCTCCGTACTTTGGCGTGGTACACCTTAGATTCTTGTTTTAAAGGCCGTTTGATTACCGGCGTCATTGTAAACTTTACCTATAAAGACCCCTTAGTTTTTCTAAAAAAATCGTACGACAGCTTTGCGCGCAAAATTGGTGAGGCGCTAAAACGATCAATGTTAAAGGTAAACGTAAGTTTGGCATGTAACTTTATCCATCCTCAAGATCTCAATGTAGATATGAAAACATTTCAAACGAGAAATGCCGTAATTGATATCGGCACCAATCTTAAAAAGTGGTACAAGGAGAACGTTTTTGATAAACTGCAAGCCAAGTTGGAAAATTTTTCCGAAAAACAGTCCGGTTGGGCGTTAAGTGAAGTGCTATTTGTCAAAATCAATATTAACAATTACGCTCCCATCAAAGGTGGTTTTTCAACATATATAAAGATGCCCTCGTTTATACTAGCTAAGAAAGCCGTTGTGAATGTACGAAACAATGATAAATTTTGTTTTCTATGGTCCATAGTGGCTGCTTTAAATCCCGTCACCAAAAATGTTGATAGAGAAAGTAGTTATCCTCATTTTGATGACATACTAAAACGCGAATCTATTCAATTTCCTATTAAAATAACCGATATAAAAAAATTTGAGCAATTAAATCACCTCTCCATTAACTTATATTGCGTAGTTAAGAAAAAAGTACTTCCATTTATGTTAAGCGGTAAGACGGATGGTAGAAAAACCGTAAATTTATTGGTATTGTCATCAAACAATCAATCTCCTCCCAACAACAACAACAACAATGGCAACGATTATTATCATTACGCTTGGATTAAAAATATGTCGGCGCTGTTCTCCTCGCAATTATCGAATCGAGGTCATAAAAAATTTTTCTGTTACACATGTTTAAATCATTTTTCGTCGAGCGATCTATTAGACAAGCATTCAAAAAGGTGTCATCAAGTGAATAAGTGTTCCATTCGAATGCCTAACAGCAATAACGATACCGAAAAATATGTAGAGTTTACTCGCTATTCGCATATGGAGAAGGTTCCATTTGCTATTTATGCTGACCTTGAAACTATCTTGGAAAAATGCGATAACTCGACACCTCTTCAAGGTGTAGCCACCGCGCTTTACCAGTCACATATTCCGTTTAGTATAGGGTTCTATTTAAAGTGCTCGTACGATGAGTCACTTTCAAAATTTGCGATGGTTTATTAAACAGTTACATGATATCGCTAAATGGGCGAACGCCATAATGAATACTGTAGTTCCCATGGAGCGTTTAAGTTCGGCTCAACTGAAAAGGATCGAGAGTGCAACGCACTGCCACATTTGCGAATAACCTTTTTTGGAGGGTGACGTAAAAGTTAAAGTCCATAGTCATAGCGGTGGGGGGCTCTTTCGCGGCGTTGCTCATAGTAAATGTAACCTAAACTATAAAGATAGTCAGGTAATACCTGTAGTTTTTCATAATCTGAGCGGCTACGACGCTCATTTTATTATTAGAGAGCTTGCGACCGGGGTCATTCCCGGCGAAATCAAACTTTTACCCGTAAACAAGGAGAAATATATCTCGTTCACAAAGTACGTACAGGATACTTGTATTAAGTTTCGCTTTATCGATTCCTTTAGATTTATGAGTAGCAGTATAGATAAATTGTCCTCATATTTGGAGAATGACAAAAAAACCCTTATAAGATTGCATAGCGACAACGCGAATGAATTTGGTTTGTTAACGCGTAAGGGCATATTTCCGTACGATTATGTCGACTCATGGGAGAGGTTAAACGAGCTAGAGTTACCGCCTAGAGATGCATTTTTTAGCAATTTGAAAAACGAAGCGGTAAGCGAAGCCGATTACGAGCACGCGCTTAACGTATGGAATACATTCAACATTAAAACATTAGGAGATTATTCCGACCTTTATTTAAAAACGGATGTTCTTCTTTTGGCTGATATTTTCGAAAACTTTCGCAATACGTGCATAGAGACGTATCGGCTTGATCCTTTGCATTACTATACCGCTCCGGGTCTAGCTTTTGACGCCATGTTAAAAGTTACGGGCGTGAAATTGGAGCTTCTAACTGATATTGATCAACTCATGTTTATCGAGAAAGGGATTAGAGGCGGTATAACGCAGTGTTCTACTAGATACGCCAAAGCTAACAACCCGTTCATGAAAGACTATAACAGCGACCTTGACACGACGTACCTATTGTACCTTGACATTAATAATCTTTATGGTGCCACAATGTGTAATTTCTTGCCCTTCGGCGAATTCTCCTTTGTAGAGGACATTGAAAATTTGGACATACTTAATCATCCGGACGATGCTGACGTAGGATACATAGTAGACTGTGATTTGGACTATCCCTCCGAGTTGCACGAATCTGATAGTGATTTTCCCATGGCGCCGGAGCATATGATACCCCTTAATTCAAAATTTAAAAAACTGATGTTAACCTTATATCCAAAGCGCGAATATGTCGTTCATTATAGAAATTTAAAGATATACGTGCAGCACGGTCTAAAATTAGTAAAAATAAATCGAGTATTGCAGTTCAAGCAGTCTCCGTGGTTGAAAAAATACATCGAATTAAATATCGGTATGCGACAGCGGGCGAAAAATGAGTTCGATAAAAATTTCTATAAATTAATGATTAATAGTCCTTTTGGTAAGCTTATGGAGAACGTGCGGAAATACAAGGAGGTGCATTTATTGACTAAATGGGGCGGACGTTACGGCGCTAGGGCATATATATCCAAACCAAACTTCCATAGTTGTACGATATTCGATAAGGACATGGTGATCATAGAAATGAATAGATTAGAAGTCTTTTTCAATAAACCTATATACGCAGGATTTGCAGTTTTAGACATTTCAAAAACGTTTCTTTACGACTTTCATTATAACTACGTTTTGAAAAAGTTTCAAAAATCGTCCGCAAAGCTGTTGTACACCGATACCGATAGTTTAATATACGCTTTTAACGTTCCCAACATATATGAAATTATAAAGGAAGATATTCATAGATTTGATACATCAGATTATGATCCCGAAAACGAGTTTGGAATTCCTTTGGTAAATAAAAAAATTCCGGGGTTAATGAAGGATGAAAATCATGGTCGTATAATGACCGAATTTGTAGGGTTGCGTGCAAAGATGTATTCATATGAGGTCGATGGAAAATTGATAAAGAAATCGAAAGGATCCACATCATCTAGTATGAGGGACGTTACGATCGATGATTATAAAAGGTCCTTGTTTAATATTGTAACTATAAAAAAGGAGCAGAATCTAATACGATCGAAGAAGCATGCCGTATACACATTGAAACAAAATAAGGTCGTATTAAGTCCTCACGATGACAAACGCGTCATATGCGCTAATCGTATCGATACACGGCCTTGGGGATATTGTAATTTTAGTAATCCTACCTAATACAACCATACTAACGACTACTACGACGATGATGTCGATATTCCACAACCTTCGCGTCTTTTAACCACACCTTTTGTATTTTAGAAAACCCCTCAACAATAACAACAACAACAACAATACGGATAATGGATAGCGAAAATTTGAAAATACAATTGGAGGAGGAGCTATACAAAGCTTCTATTCCCATTTATAAACAATTTTTAAAACAAGCTCTATTGAGAAACTCATCCACTACATTCATTAATGAGGTGTTACAAAACCTCATTATCCTCCCCGATGAATGTTTCGGTTGGTGTGCTTGCTCTAGAAATGTATGTGAAACTAATATTAGATTACTGATAGAGAGAAAAATTGAACTGGATAGGTTAGTAAAATCAATATCCTGTAATGTTAGTGATTGTAGTAGTGGTAGTAATATTGATAGTTTACCGTTTCATATCAAACAATATGTAATTAATTTACTCAAGTCTTCTGCAGGTGTGTATAAGGATTATTTCATATGTAATAAATGAAAGTATTTGTAAATCTGCAAAATATGCCAATGTTAATGCCCTAACATTATTTATTAATGTGTGCGTAGAAAAGGGAGTAGAGTGTAGATTTAATACGCACGAGCACA